TGCGCCCCCCCCCAGCAGACCAGGCTTTTGTTGTGGACCCTGGGGTAGAGCAGCTGGGGTGCTGCCGGGTTGGTCCTGCAGGGACCTACCTGGCAGCCCAGATGTTCTGTCCCAGCCTTGAGATTCAGCCGCTGTTGAAACTGATCAGTGGCTGATTCCAGGAAGCTGGGGGTAGAGCAATTCTGCCTCCAGCTTCCTGTAGTCATCCCCTGGTCAGTTTCAGCAGCAGTGGCTGAATCTGGAGCCAGTTCCGACTTACATACAAATTCAAGTTAAGAACAAACCTATAGTCCCTATCTTGTTCGTAACCCGGGGACTGCCTGTAGTGCTTCTCAGTGCATGGAAAAAGTAGCTGCGAACTTGTTAATTTTCACTCAACTTGCATGTTAAGTACACAGGCAATTAACACAGCTCCATCCCTTTGAGTAAGTCTCTAAGCTTCATCAACTAAGACTGAACTGAGCTTTGTTAACACCTGCTTTCTAACTCACATAGCACCTGATTTTTGCTCTACAAAAATGCGCCGAGGTAGGAAACTTGACAACATTTACTCCAAAAAAAACCCTGTTTGATCAAGTTGTGCTATAACTGCTGCTTATTATGCTGACTAGTATAGTCTCTTTATTACCACCTTGTAATCTGCCCCTACCTACAATGAGAGTATGGCTTCTCCCTCCCATTGGCAAAAGTACTCCATCTCCCCCAAGAGCTGGTAGCTATGCCAAATGGAGAAGGCCTCCCTGTCACACAGCGCTGACTACAGCAATGGCGAGATTGGAATAGCTGCATTGCTCAGGGTGTGTATTTTCTTCCCCAAAGCCAGGGCTACTCAACACATGGCCCGTGGCCCGCATACCATTGTTTGTGGCCCGCGGCAGTTTGGGTTTACACAAGGCTCAACACGCGGCCTGTGGGTGGGAGCCAAAACAAAAAAGTAGTCAACATAATGGTCTCCTGTTGATACGCATTTTAATAGTTCAATTCCTGGACTGTCATTGCTCATTAAAAGTGCTGTCGTATGGGTGGAAATCGGGTAAATATTGCATTTAATTAACATCAGCACAACTGACTCCGTGTTGTGTAGTCTTGCCTTAATTTTTGTATTCGTGCCCGTCAGTGTGAAAAGCTATTTGCATATATATTTGCATGTACATGCAACCACACTTAAGTTGTGGCCCTCAGCATGGGCTGTGAGTAGCATTGTGGCCTCCAGGTTTTCCAAAGTTAAGTAGCCCCATCCTAGCAATGTAAGTTGCTAGCATAGACCAAAGTCTACAAGTGTACTAAGATTTTACAGTCTGATTAATTATAACTCCCCACCTGTCTGCAAAAGCAGACTATAGTTACACGTGTGTTCTTGTCTTCCACTAAGTCATTGCTTCCCTTTTTCAGCACTGACGTGTGCCAGTTGAATCACAACAGAGAACCCTGTCCTGGAGCTGGTAAGCACTGTGTGAGGAAAACCCCTTCTTTGGATCAGACTCTGACAGCTAGCTGTTAGGGCTTCGAGAGAACTGAGCAACAGGAGGGACACATCACTACTCCACATCATGTTGAGGCACACTCTGCTGTTATTTAAAGTCTTCTGAGATAAGATTAAAGCACAACATTTCCAACCCCCCACCCTCCCGCTCATTTTAACTTATCTGCAATAGGAAACACTAAATTGAATTTTCTCTTAGGAAAAGAATATATTCTAAGAGGGAGGTACCTAAACACTAATTTATTCTCCCTGCCTACCTCACAGCTGTCTATTTCTGGTGCAGAACCAGACATCTGTTCAGGGATTTGCATAGATTGCACACTTGAAAAACATGCAGCTTACCTAAAAAACAAAAAGGCTCAGTAATCATTATCAGTGCTAACAAAGGAAACTTGTAACCAGCACTGCAGAACAACTGTGGACTTTGCTACCTATTTATTTCATTTGCACCTGCTGTAATGTGAATAGTTCTTACAACTTATTTTGGTAAGTTAAAAAGTGGGGTGTGTATATTTTTATATAAAAATA